CCAGTGATCATTTCAAACTGTTGTTAAAGTGTCTTCTAAACTTTCTTTTAAAGTGTTTTTCTGAGCATCGACGGAGGATCCAGGATATCTCGATTCGATTCCCGGTCAGGGCACATGCCCAGGTTGCAGGCTTTATCCCTAGTCGAGGGCCTTCAGGAGGCAGCCATTCAATGACTCTCATCATTGATGTTTCTATCTCTCTCCCTCTCCCTCCCTCTCTCTGAAGTCAATGAAAATATATTTTAAATAAATAAATAGTTTTCCCTTCTAAACTGTAGACTTTCTGATTTTCAAACAAAAAAATGTAAATTTGAATATAAATAAAAATTAAATGGTTCTAAATATACACCACAAAATTGGCACTTGGTGAAAATATGCTTTTATGAACTTACAAAAATGTGTACTTACAAAAGAGCAATCCTCTCTTTCAGTCTAAGTAACATTCTTAACTTTATTTCTACATTTGCATACTTTCTCCAAGACCTTAATTTATTTTGGAAAAAAAAGTATTTTAAAGCTTTAATCTATGACTCATATTTTTTATTTCAGGAATCTGTTTTTCTAGTTAGAGACTTTAGCTAATTATCCTAAAACCAGCTACTCTAAAATTTCATTAATCTCCATGTTTGAGAGTCCACCAAAAAAAGCATAAGCAAAATGTGGGTGTCAAAGTTTCAAAACTGGCAGGATCCATCCACAATGTATTTTCATCATTAACAGTAAAACTCTAAGTAAGTGAATGTACCATTTCTTAAAGTGGATTTTAATATTTAGGAAAAAAAATTTTTTCTGTTTCTGGGATATCTCTGAAATGTAAATAGACGAACCACATAACCCATATTCTGTTACACTGAGGATCACAGATGTTGTTTCCAAATGTCCTTTAGAAGCAAAGTACATGTTTTAATTGTAAGAGTGTGTTGTTAACTTTCTGCTTCTTAAAGTGGGTCAAAGGGGATAGATAACTCATGTTTTTTCTTCACTGATGTCAAAACCCAGCATTGGAATCTTGCATTGTTGTCATTCACTGGAAGGCTCAATGTCCCAGAAATCTGAATATTTTTTCATGGCTCTCTTGACTGCATCCAAATTGGACTTTTAACAGAATTTCAGTGGGAACCAGGTGTTTAAAACTTCAGTTGAAGGTCCACCCCTGATTTTCCTGGGCTAGGCAGCAGACTTTCCTAAGCAAGCCTAGATAGTACGCCAGGCAGGAGACAGCTGTGTGTGTGCTACACCACCCACAGGGCAAAAATGCAGCAAGTCACAGCTTATGCTGAAGGTCAGGACAACTGGCTGGCCCCAGAGAGTTAGTCTAAAGGCCAGGAAAAGTCCTTCTTCCTACTTTTTCCCACACTCCAGTGATGGTGTCCTTTCATTCATTCACAAACCCAGGGAAACCTCCCTATCCTCTTGAAACAGAAAAGGTTATATTATTAATATTTGTTGGCTGGCTAATTTGACTTCAGTGTAAAATAATTTTGTTAATCTGTTCCCTTTCCATGCAAAATTATATCTAATTTGTAGAGTGAAAGCTGGCCCAATACTGGTCATTCCAAGTTTCATTTCCCTGTTAGGTCTGTTAATTGTGGGGTTGGGTTGGGTTCAGAGTTTCTTTCCCTCTGTCAAGCCCTCCCTCCAGTGCTTCCAGTTGCACCACAGGTTTCTGAGAAATATCTGATAAGCTGTCTTTTCGCAAGTGCTGATTTCATATCCCTCACTAGAGCCTCACTGCGGGGTCTCTGCCAGCTCTTGCTCCTGTGAGTCTCGTGGACAATGCTAGACGTCAAGTCCTACTTTAACTTCTCCTCAGAGGGGCAGGGCAAAGCCACTCTCCCCCAACTCCCTTCTCCAAGCCCCCTCTTTTCAGCCTTTGGAATGAAAAATTAGAACTCCTTTGTTCCCTTCCCAGAGTGCCACTCCTATCAGTGACCAAATGTGTCTTGTTCCTGTTGCCCTTGGCCCAAGTGGAAGCTCCTGTTCCTCCAGGCAGGGAAGGAAATGTCCCTGAACCCCTGCTGAAATCTGAGTAACCAGCACTCCTTGCTCTACCCCAAGCCCCTGATCTGCCCACTCACTTTCTGAACTTGATCCAGTCTTGCTCTTGATCACAGGCCCTCTTTAAATGGAACTAGGGCCGGAGGAGGTAGTACCTGCTCCGCCTCCCCACTCAATCTAGAAGGTGACTTTCATCTCTAAAATTTGGTTTTACTTTTCTACCACGAATGAATGAGTGCCTCCATATCTCATTTTTCTAGAAAACGAGTCATTGTTTTTTAAAAATTATGAACAATTCCAGGTATACAAAAGTATACCTAATAAAAAGCACTTCCACATCCATGTACACCACGCAGTTTTAGAAACAGTAAATTACAAAGTTGAAGTCCCTGTGAACCCCTCCCCAATCCCTCCTCTTCCATTTCTCTCCAGAGGTAATAGTTATCCAGATTTTGTTGATAATCATTCTTGTGCATGTTTTTATACTTAAATTACACCTGGATATATATAAAAATGATACATACTGTTGGTTTGGGCATATTGTAAAATATGTTTTTACTGATTTTAGAGAGAGAGGAAGGGAGAGAGAAACATCGATGTGAGAAACATTGATCAGCTGCTCCTGCCGCACCCCAGCTGGGGAACAAACTGGCAACCCAGCTATGTGCCCTGACTGGGAATCAAATCCACGACCTTTAGGTGCACAGGACGACACTCAACCAACTGAGCCACATGGGCCAGGGTGGTTTGGATATTTTTGAAATTTTACAGAAATGGTTTGACACTGTAAATTTCTGCAGTTGATCTTTTCACTCATGTTGATATATGTGGCAGTTGTTCACTGCTCACGAGTACTCCTTGTATACCAAGGTGTTCTCTTACTGTCGACATTTCCGTTGTTGCTAGGGTTTTGTTGTTACCCTTAAAGAGGAAGAATTCTCAGGAGACATGGACATTCTTATACCTGTTTGTTTGGGCAGACCTGATCTTTAACTGCCAAAATTCACTTTTAACCCCTTTTTGAATTGGTCTTTGTGAATCTGGTAAGTTGCTGTTTCTCCTGGGCCTCAGTTTTCTTAGGTACAAAGGGAGGACTGGACTCAACAATCTCTAAGGTCCTCCCT